CACTCTTTAGTGTGATGTTGCTTAGCAACCCATCTTCCAGTTTTGCCTTTGATGAATAAAAGAGGAGAGTGAAGCTGTGGTTTCTATTGATTCATTCACTGAAACTGAAAATCTAAGCATCTTGTAGCTATGGCAACATAAGCCATAGGTGTCTCTTCCTCTTCTCTCTTGCCCCCCTTTTACCTGCAGGTACAGAACGCCTAGAATATATTCTAGAGGGCATGTAAAAATTGTTGATAACTGTTCTAAGTAATAATTCTTTTTTAATTTGCTACTGCTTTTTTCGCATTTGTACCAATACTAGAAGATGGTCTAGGAAGTACCATTAGGGAAAATAATTAGTATGAGTAGCTAAAAATAACTAGTAAGACTCTTAAACAAAACTAGAGTAAAAGGAATGTGAAAGTTTTTTCCTGTTTTTGGACTAGGTTTGTCTACTGTGAATAAGTTCTCAAATGTAGTGTAGCTACAATAATTTTTAGAAAGGCTGTAGACTTTCTAAAATCAGGCAGCTCTTGTTATTCATTAGGTGAGTAGTTTATTTATAAACACAATACTTTAAACAGAGTTTATAACGTTAGAGAATTTGCTGAAAATTTTCTGAACTAATTATCTTTGAAATTGGTCCAGGAGACATTTCAGGGAAGTCTCAATAGTGGGAGTGGATTCTGGCTCTTCAGAAGCTGATGACAGAGAGAGCTCATTAGTGTGTTTCATGTACAATGCTGAACAGGGAGAAAATAAGAAATCAAGGAAGTATTTCATTAGCAAGTACTTCTCCATCAGCTTGTGATTATGCCACTTTTCAAAGATCACAACAGTGATTTCACGATCTGGCTTTATTTGCTTAGTGGTTTTACCTCTTGCTTCATCTTGCAATGAAATCAGAACCCTTTGTTGTTTGAAACATTGATCTGCCTTAGAATGTTGAGAATTGGACCATTATGGCAAAAATCACATGCTTTTATCTCTGCTATATGTTGTTGCTAATTATGTGACATGGTGCTTGCAAGAAGAGGAGCTAAGTGAACAGTCTAAGTCTTGTTGTTGTTCTTGATGTTTGGTTGGAATTGGTTTTTTTTAAGGAGTCAGTATGCCTGTTAATGCAGGTTTTATTCTGGAAAACAGCAGCTTTTTAAATGTTCACATTAGAAATTTGCCTTACTTTAATTTCGTGCTATGAAAGTTGAATGTTGGCTGTGCGTGTCTCAGGTGATGTAGCTACAGTTCAGGCCTCAACTTTCAAAGGCATAAGGGAGGATTTTAACATGCTAGAAATACCAGAACATATTAATTGTGATAAATGCTGGTCTAAATCTTTTATTAAGAGTTCCCGGGCAATATTAATTAATTTGTAAAAAAACTGGTGTCAACATTTTTGTTACTGCTGTAGAATCAGTATAACTACTGCCAACTGCCCACGTAGTTGCTGAGCTCATTGTTACCTGTAGTGAGAGAATGAAGCTTTAAAGTGCTGGGCTGGGACAGTGATTTAAGAATGGGAAGAAGTGGAAACTCTACACTCCATTAAGGGAGTGCAAATAGTACTTTATTTTTTTTTTTCTCCCGTAAATTAAACCATGCTTCAAAAGAGAAGAGATTTTGCATCTGTCTCTCTGGGAAACCGCATTGTGAAGAGAGGGAGCTCAGTGTGATATCCCTTCTCCGATCTGTGATCTCACCTCTGAGGGATTTTGTGTTCTGTTTCCCAGCAACCTGAGCTGGGGAGTGCTCGGTCAACCACGTCCTGCGCCACATCGCACTTCGATGGCTGAAGCAGGACCCGCAGCCCCCGCCGTGACGCTCGAACTGCGCTCCCCGGTTCGGACGGTGACGCGCGCACCGCTGCGGGGCGCGTTGTGTCCCTGTGCCAAAAGCGCCGCGTCCCGGGGGAGCGCCGGAGGAGAACGGGGAGGAGGGAAGGAGGTTTCTCCGGGCGCCCCCGCCACTCGCCACCCCTCCACACCGGCCCCCTCCCCGCCGCGCGGCGCCTCGCCGCCCACCTGCGCGCCAGAGTGAGGGCGGGGCCGGGCGCGCGGGGACGCAGGCGCGGGCGCTCGCGCCGCACCTGCGGGCGCGGGCGGTAGCCGCCAGAGCCCGGGCCCGGCTCCGGCCTCCCGCGGACTCCCGGTGTTCCCGGTGCCCCGCGGCGCCTCGCGCGGCAGCCGCCTTCGCTTTCCTCCCGCCGGACGAGGGTGAGTGGGGCACTTGCAGGAGCCCCCGCGCGCTCCGCTCCCCCTTGGCCTCGCCGCAGGCTGCTGGCCGGCGGAGGGAGGCAGCGCCCGGGCCCGCCTTCTCCTCCGTTCCGCCGCCTCCCGTTTGCGGGCGCGCGGGGCTCGGGCGGGAGGGCGGGAAGCCGTGACGTTATGGAGCCCCTCCCGGGGTGGGAGCGGTCCTGGGGCGGGCCACGGGGCTGGGCTGCCCGGGGGATCCCTTCATGCGCCCCTCGCGCGCCGCTCCCGCGCCGCAGTGCCCTCATAGCCCCCCGAGGCCGCAGCGCCGGGGCCCTTCCCCGGAACGGCACAGCCCAGCCCTGCGAGCCTTGCCCGGGGCCGGGACAGCCCGGCTAGCCCCGCACCGGGCCAACGGGGAGTGGGCGAGGAGCCCAGGCTGCCGCCTGGGCAAACGGGGCTCCGGGAAGCGCCGGCCGGATGCACCGGCCGAGGTATTGACCGAGGGAGGTGTCTCTTGCCACGTACGGATCCCGCCCAAGGGTTTGCCCACAGTACCGCATTCATTCCATAGCAGCAGGGTGGTAGTTCCATTGTGTACATTGCCAGCTAGTTCTGGGTTAGTTCATCCTACACGAAGTGCTTCTGAAAAGTTACCACATTGTCTCTTTTCCCCGGCGGTTTGTTGGTGTTCTACACAGCGTGTGACAACACTTAGGGAATGTTTTCTGGGGTCTGAAGAACTGACAGGGGAAGCATATTTTAACATTAATAACCTTAGTGTCATGGATTTATTTTTTTTTAACTTTGTGTAAAATATTCTTGTACAAAAAAGAATTTACGGATAAACTTTTTTGTTGGTTAAGTAAAAAATCTTACTGGAAATATGAATGTTATATACGCACCTCAGTAGTATTTTTTATGTTAATCTTCTGTAACAAAACGAACTCTTTTGTTTAAAAAACTACAAATTACATTGATCTACTCAGGATTGACTAAAGCCGGTGTTACGCTGCTGAGCTGACAGAGTTAAAGACTGAGACAGAACAGCCAACTTTACGGGGTTTGGTTTCCTTTTTTAGCTAGGTTTGCTCAGTGGTCTGGTCAGTTTGGCATCTGCTACTGTCATCTAAAGGCTTCTCAATAACAGAGCAAAGTAAAAATTAAGTTGGTTACAGAGAGCCTGAATTACTATTTTTGTTGCGCTGTGGGAAGGAGCAGAAGACCAGTTTTCCTCATAATTGCTATTGTCACTTAACTTTGGCCCTTTTGGGGGCTGGGTAGTACCAGAGGCAGCCCGGATATCTTGACCTCTGTTGAAATAGGAACAAGATATAATTGCCCTCTCTGTGACATTCCCCCAAAGTCTGTGGCTCTAGGTGACATACCATGTTGCTTTGAAATTGGTTTTTTTGCTTTGCATAAGTTCACTGGCTGGTTGATCTGTCCCAAGAGCTGTAGCTAGTGCAGGCTTTCCCCTTCCTTTGGAATCAATGTTGAGAATCGCACTCATGATACGAACTGCTGCTCAGTTGCCTGCCAGCACTGATGAGTTTCTCATCCCGATCTGCTCATTGCTGTGCTTGTCTTTACAAGATTTGAAAGTGGCTCAAGTTTCTAGACCATGAAGTGCTAGGTTTTGTCCACTCATGTAAAGCCTGAATTTATTCACTTGCTGTTACCATTGTCTGATTTTTCCTAATACTCACTGATATGTGCCATAGGAAATAGTTGTGCTTACAAACAGAGAAATCGTATCACAGAACTACTGACTTCACAATTCCATAGTCAAATGGTTAACTTGAGGGGACTAAGGTTATTCAGCAGTGAAATGTAGCTGGAAAATAAACATTGAAGTGGGAAGAGGAGGAAAGCAAAGACACTTTTGGAAGATTCTGACAAAGATTAGTTTAGCAGTCACTGACCCAGTAAATCTCCCATGAGGAGACTCTCACTTATCACTTCGACAAGAGGTTATGGCCAGTCAGAAAACTGTGATTTCAAGACCTGCACTTGATACACAGATGCTTTTGTTATCTTAGAAGCATTACTACAATCAGTAAAACAAACAAAGTTCCCTTGGTTATGATCCAGACGTTATCTTCTGGTGCTTAAATGATAATCAGACACTAATCCTTCTGAGTTAAAACAGCACTTTACAGCTGCTATCGTGCTCACTTGTCATCATGGCATTTTTAGGGACAGTCTAAAATTATTTTAACAGAGGCCCAAACCAATCTAACCAAGAAAAAAGACAAGATACAGAGTTGAGTGAAATTTAAATTTGAGATAAGTGCATGCCATTTACATATCCTAGGTCTTTACATCATGTACAATCCCAGGTATGTAAAAATAAGACATGAATATTTTTATAATATACGGTTACTGTATATTTTTAATATGCTATTGGTTGTCACAGGGAACTGTCTAACTCTGCCTATCACATACAGTGCTTGGCTGTAGAAAAACAGTACTAGTGCTCATTTTGAAAGAGCATGTGATAGTTTGAAGCACTTCCATTAGAATATATGGAGTGTTTGGTGATGATTTGTTTGGGGTTTTTTCCCAAATTATTTTTTTGATCTCAAAAAAACTGCTGAAGGAGATAGTTGACCCATTTGTACTCCAGCAAGTTGTTTCAGTGCTGCTGTTGTTCAGAATTTCTTCAGCCTTCTGTGTGATCATCCATTTACAGCTTCTCATTTCTGTGTAATAATCAGTGAGGCAGATTGCATCCAGCATTTGCTAGAATAATTTGTGCCCTCAATGTTTCTAAAACAAAGGCTCAGGAATTGAATACATTCAGTATTCCTCTTACAACTGTTTTGCAGGAGGAGAACCACATTTCCAGTGGCTGAGCTTCAAAGAATGTACCCCGAGGAACAGCACCTGGCGTTTGTGAATCTCTGTTTCTTTTAGGTATGTGTACCCTATCTAGGAGTGTGTTCTTAGTGAAACAGATAAGCAGTTCTCTTTTGTTGCAATTGTGCAGATAGAAACTAGTTGGCTGATTCTGTTTCTCTTTATGTGATGCTATAGTCTTTCACTTTAGTACAGCTCATTTTATTATTTGTTCCTTTATTTAAGTCAAGGGCTAATATGCTTGTAAACAGTAGCATAGTTTGTGGGACTGAAGCAACTTTTTTAATTTTCCCTGATTTCTGAAGTGCTTCTCAATGTTTTTGATTGTATGAAGAGCCTTCATATTCCATATTAAGGTAAATCTGTATGAAAAGTTCACTCTAAATTGGATGTTTCTTAATCTGTCCCAAAAGGTGCATGTGTGAATGTATGTTCCTCTAGGTTGTACTTCTAGGAAGTGGGAACAGTTTTGTTCAGTGATTTTTTTTTTTTTTTTGCTGGTAATAAAACCCTACAATTTCCATGGTGGTAGAAGACAAATATTTGATTTACCAAACTGATTATTTCAGTAACTAATATTTTAGCAATATCTACACTGATACTCATGCAAAAAAACCTGTCTGGAATTTTAGATTCAGAAATACCAGTGGTGAAAGTAGGACTTCTTACAGGTAAAGTATCCTGAAGTATCTTTGTCAGACTTTTGCTAATTTGGAGAGAACAGTTGATCATAAGTGTCAGGTCTTGTTTTTCCAAAAGAATTTTCTCAGTGTTTCTATTCACACACTCACCTTCTTATTAAAGGGACATCAGGGTTTGATGAAGAGTTTGTATACTTTGATAACAAAAATAGACAAGCTGGAATAGAATAAGTAGATTAAGTTGAAGCAAAGTCATGTAGTTAAATAGTTTTGATTAGAATAGTTCTGAAGCATTTTTCCTATTTTTCCCTTTTTAAGTCTTTTTTTTTTTAATTATTTTTAGTATTTTTCACTTAGGTTTTTTTTTATTTTTTTTTATGTTCCATAAGCAGCATTGTCAGGAAACATTTGAAACTTGTTTAACATTCAGATTAAAAAAAAGTAGATTTTAAAATAGTTTTATTAAAAAACTGCAGTCAAGTGTATTATTGATAGTAAGCTCAATAAATTTTGCCTCACTGGCATGGTCTGAAAGAATTTCTGCTGATTTGGTTTATATTGACACTTTCATTTTCTTATACAAAAAAATGATTGTCTATAGTGTTGTTCAGAGCAAGCTAACAAAAAATCAGAGTTGTCTGCGTGTTGGCTACAGTAGGGAGGCTTTCTTCTAAGTAAGAGATTTTGCAGACAGTCTGACATCAGAGTTAGTGGGTGGCATAATGTAACATAGACTGCATTGAATTCACACACTAGCCATGTGATGTGGTTTGAAGTAGTGTGGCAGCTGCTTTTTGGCACTTTTAGAAGACTTTTTTAGTATGTATTAGTTTTCTGGTTATTTTCTTCTTAAAAAAAAAACTTCTAGTGTTTAGGGCTAGTTATTTCAAAGTGCTGTAAGAATCCAGACTGCTATTAGTGAAAATAACACTAATGAATAGAAGATTAAACACTTTGCTAAACAGTCACCCCAGGGAGTTTAATCATGCCACATAGTTCTTCATGTCCTGAAGGATTGAACAGTAGCTTGGTCTGTGTTTACTGACATTGCTGTGCCATGAAAATGTGAGAGGCATTTGTGCAGAATAAAGATTGTATTTCTGGCTACAAAATTATCTGGGTGAAAATCCTAAGTAAGATACAGCTTTCATGGCAAAAATTCTTCAGACAATGTAGCTTCTGTTCTGGAAAATGCTACTATTTTGTGCAACAGAGAGCTCTTCTCTAATTGTAAGCAATATCCCTATCAGATATTTTATTAACAAAACTGCACTCAGCATGTGTCTATATCAAAAGGTTTTGCTGTATGTTTGTGGCAAATGACCCTCTGTCCACTTCATCTCTGCTGCACATGCTGTCCCAAAGCTGTCACTCAATCCTTCCTCTAAAAAAGAAACATCACTTGCACTTGTTCCTGTGCACGTCGTGCGTGCCATGTGTGCTACTGCAGTCTGCTCATCCACATTGAAAGGGTTTGTTGCTGTTTGCCACAACACACCTAACACAGGTGAGTTGTCTTTTCATTTCTAGGGACAGACACATTTCCCATGTGTGTTGTGGCAGCTTGCTGTAGTTAGACCTGAGCAGCCAAGACAGATGTATCCAATAAAAGGAAATACGTTGTCAGAGAAGTCCAAGTGTATGCAAATAACAGTGAATATAGTAACACAGGAGGACAAATGCTGAATAACTTGCTCTTGGTTGCTCATTATGGAGAGTAATTTAATGACTTATTTGTCTGAAGGCAGATGTATGCAAAGCAGGCAGTGCAAAAAATATTCTGAATGAATTTTAGATTTTGGTTATTTGGATTTATGGATATCTTAACTTGTGTTAAGAGAATTCTGAGGATTTGTATGTGCTTAATTTGTGCAGGAAATAGTCCCAAATGAAAACAACAAGATGTTTAGTTTATGGTTTTGGTAAAATGTACAAATGTACTTTTTATGTTTTTTGAAGATTAGGTTAGTATTTCAGCATCAAAACAGCATCAAAACTCTGAAGTATGTCCTAAAAATCCATGAAAGAAATATTTGCTATTTTCGAGTCCATTTTTCTTTTTTGTTGCTGGAGGCAATGAAGTAAATATAAAACTAGAAAAAAATAATGTCTTAGTGAGCATAAGATAAGTAAGTCTTGTGGTGTTAATTGAAATACTGAAGATGTTTGGAAATCTGACAGTTGTAACTTTAACTCTCTAAAGTAGTTGTTCTTTGGTACTGAGACAGGTAACTGCCACACTATATTCTACCCTTTTGAGTAGTCTCAGACCAGCTCATTAAAACAAAATGAGACAGACGTAAATATTTAACTCAAATATTGATTAAGTTCTGCAGTTTAAGCATAATTTCAGTGTAAAACAATGTTACTGTATAGAATTAACTTTAACCTCACTTCTCTTGACATCTTACCCCATCATGTTCATTAAAGCTTAACCTTTTTCTTGTCATGAACAAATTTAAATTTCTTTACCAAGAGGAAGAAGTCTAGAGGAAGTTGGAGAACATAATTTCATGATTAATGAGATAAAAGAAGTTTGAGGACAACAATGTTTGGAAACCAACCAACCAGCCGACAAATGCTAATGCTCTCCCTCCCCATGTGTTTGCCTGATTGACTATGCCTAATGACTGCTTACGAGATAAAGAAGTTATATATTTTTATATAGATAGATAGATGTTTTTTTCCATTTGAGGAAGATATATTTATATTGCTTATTGATTTCTTAGCTTTAAGATTTACTAGTACCATATGTGCTTGTGCATGGTGCACTGAGAAACAGTAATGTGATTTTGTTTTTGATGGTGTTACAAAAGCATTCCTGATTAGTAACCTGCAGAGGCTGTAGCCCGTGCAATGACAGTCTTCTTGCTGGGTGCTAATCTGTACATATGCTCAGTGTTTTACATTGTGTATAGCATTTTCATGGCAAGTTTGGGGGTGGGGGTGAGTATGACTGCACAGGTGGCCTCTGTGATAAGAGACAGGGGTTGCTCACCCCCCATTCTGGGCTGGACACAGCTGGTTCCAGACAGCTGTAAAATAGACCCACTGTTGGCCAAAGCTGAGCCACCCATGTAGCAGGTGGTGCCTCTGTGATGAGGTATTTCAGAAAGGGTAAAAAATGCTACACAGCAGCTGTGAGAAAGAGGAGTGAGAAAAATGTGAGACCCTGCAGAAACCAAGGTCAGTAAAGAAAGAGGGGACAATGTGTTCCAGGCACTGGAGCAGTTATTCCCCCTGCAGCTCATGGAGAAGACTGTGGTGAAGAAGTATTTCTCTGCCCAGAGCAGGTGTCTGCACTGCAGCCTGTGCAGGACCCCATGCCAGAGCAGGTGGATATGCCGTGAAAAAAGCTGCAGCCTGTGGAGAGGCCATCCCAGGAGCAAGATCCTGACAGGAACTGCAACCCATGGATGGCCTATGCTGGAGCGGTTTATGCTGAAGTACTGTCCTGCACAGAGAGAACCAATGTTGGAGCAGGGGAAAAGTGTGAAGGGGAAGGAGTGGTAGAAATGATGTCTGACAAGCTGACCACAGCCCTTATTCTTCACCTCCTCTGCACCACTTGGGAGAGAGGAGATAGAAGAATTGGCAACGAAGGAGTGAAGCTGAACCAGGGGAGTTTGAGTCTTTTTTTTTCACCATCCTACTCTATTTTTAATTGCCAGTAAATTAAAATCCATCATTACAGGTCTTTTTTCCCTGTGACAGTAACTGGAAAGTAATCAGACTGCCTTTAGCTCAACCCATGTGATTTGCCATGGTGGGTAGAAAATTCATGCAGCCAAAGCTCAGCTGGAGTTGAAGCTGCCAGAAAGGTGGGGGACAATAAAAAGAGTTTTTCAAAGGCTAGTTGAAGGAGGGGATTGTCCTGCTCTGCTCTGCACTGAATAATGTGTGCGGTTTTGGGTGCCACAATATAAAAAAGATAATATTAAGCTTTTAGAGAGCATCCAAAGAAGGGCAATGAAGATGGTGAAGGGCCTTGAGGAGAAGCCATATGAGAAGTGCCTGAGGTCACTTGGTCTGTTCAGCCTGGAGGAGACTAAGGGAAGACTTCATTGCAGTTACAACTTCCTCGTGAGAGAAAGAGGAGGGACAGGCACTGATCTCTTCTCTGTGGTGACCAGTGACAGGACCTGAGGGAATGGCCTGAAGTTGTGTCAAGGGAGGTTTAGGTTGGATATTACACAAGAGGTTCTTCCCCCAGAGGGTGGTTGGGTACTGGAAGAGGCTCCCCAGGGAAGTGGTCACAGCACCAAGCCTGACAGAGTTTGAGAAGTGTTTAGATGATACTCTTGGGCATGTGATGTGACTCTTGGGGATGGTCCTGTGCTGGGCTAAGGGTTGGACTCCGTGATCCTTGTGGGTCCCTTCCAAATCAGCATATTCTGTCATTATTTTTTTCTCACTGTCATGTTGAGGATGGGAAGTGGAGAGAGTGGCTAGGTGGGTGTCTGGCAGCCAGTCAAGATAAACCCCCCAGATTTTGTGAGAAAACAAGACATTTTTCAATCTGGCAGTTTGGTAAATTGGTTGCAATCCTTTCATCGGGAATGAAAGTTTAATTCTTAGTCTTACAGTATATAGGTACTGGTATTGTAGTACAAATTTTTCAGCACTAAAGAAAAATGGGAAAATAATATGTGAGACAGAAGTGGACTGATTTTGTGGTTTTATTTTGGTTTTCTTTTAAATTCTGTGAGTTGTGAAGCACGTTTTTGGTACCTTTTAGTATCTCTCTGGCAATGATGTAATAAGCTCCCCTCTGCATTCTCTTAACAATAACTCTATGGTAAAAGTACTGTAGTTTGAATGTATAGGTTTATTAAGCTGACACAAGCTTTGAAACACAGTATAATGTGAAGAAATGCAGATGTTTAATTTCTCCTACAAATTCTTGAAGGAAACTATGTAGGGTTGGGGTTTTTTTGTTTTCTCTGACTGGTATCTCTTCCTGAGTATATATTATTATTATATATTAAGAAATGCAGAATCTACTTGTATTTCAAAGAAATAAATAGAAAAGCAGGGGTTTTTGCAGTTTTGTGATGAGTAGTTATCACATGGGAACTAACTGTGACTTTTAGCTAGATGCTGTTTATTTCTTTTCTCAGTTCACATACATGCAATTTAGACAAAAATGAAGGTGTTTCTTCAATTCAGGCTGGTTTTTATATTTTCCCCTCTTATAAACTGCCAGTTTTGCAGAGAGAATTTAATTCAAATCAGTTAGATTTTGGTAGTCCTCAAATGTTTTTCATAGTTTCATCTTTGAAAGCCACTGAATATGAAAAAAACTGTGGCAGAGTTCCTGAAAGACAAGAGCTCTTTGGCATGTTCTCATGATGAGCTGCAGCAGCACATGCCAGAAAATGCAGCACAGGTGAATGAAAAAATATACAGAATGATTTCTTGATCCCCAGGCTAAATTAACCTACTCCAATTTACCTGTATAAACTCTGCATTGAACATGTATACTAGGTAACTAAATTAATCTAAGAATTTCCCGCTTGAAGTCTGATTACTTATCTTGAAATAGATTTTTTAAAAAAATATTGGAAACTGTCAAATTGTTGAAATGTGTTGATTGAGAAGTCTTTCCTGTCTTTGTATTTCACTTTTCATGTGGCTCTCTCTGACATGCAACTCGAACCTATGTATTGATTCCATCTGTTTTCCTTCTATCCCATCATTGAACTAAAATTCTCTACTTCTAGAAGACTTTAAACAACACTTTCTTCTAATTTTAAACAGCCTAATTGTAACAAAATGAATGTGAAGTAGTGGCACTGTGTAGAAATAGTGATTTATTCTTAGTGGTATGCCTAATTTCTGGTTCTTCTATTTGAAGTGTATTTAAAAAATAAAACCCAAAACAAAAAACAGGGAGAGGGCATTTTGGGTATCTTATAGGTAACTTTGATGTATATTTAAGTGATGTAGCAAACATAACATTTGACATTTGGGAGCTGTGAATTAAATCCTCCCCATTTAATTTCTTGTGGCTTTACATCGTTGAATATACTAGATGCCTAAATGAACACTTTTTGTTTTAATTTATAGGTATTATAATTTCAAGAAATGCTGTGACCTGTTTGAAGAACAACACTCACAGAAAGTTGTCGTGTGAAATTTTTTAAACTAGAATGGCCTTGAAAAAAACACACAAACTATTCAAGACACTTTTTCACTGGAAACTTTGGAAGTTTAGCATTATTGTGTTTGTCTTTTTGGTATTTTTATTTTTATTGCAAAGAGAAGTGGGTGTTCAAGATTTTAAAGATGAAGCAGGAATTGAGCCAGTTGTTGGAAAGAAAAGTCATGTATTAGGTCTTGTGTTAAATGCTATGAACAATATCAAAGGTGCAAAGCCAAAAATGCAGATAAAAGCACCAGTTAGGCAAACTAAGATTCCTGGAGAGAGACACTGTTTGCCAGGGCACTATACTGCGGTGGAACTAAAACCCTTTCTAGATCGACCCCTTCAAGATCCTAATGCTCCTGGAGCTTCTGGTAAAGCATTTAAAACCACCAACTTAAATTCAGAAGAACAGAAAGAAAAACAGCTTGGAGAAGAGAAACACTGTTTTAATGCATTTGCAAGTGATAGGATTTCTTTACACCGAGACCTTGGACCAGACACTCGACCTCCTGAGTATGTTGAAATACGTATGTTCTGATAGTTGAAAAACTTCTCAGAAATTCAGACTGCAAAGTGATTTGAGTTCAGCATTAGGTGATAGTTTAGGAAAGTCTCCTAGCTATACATAATGATTGGCTGTACATAACAGTCTGCAGTGCCAAAGCCAAGAATGTTTAGAAAAGCTCACTTCTTTCATGGTTTTGAATTCAAAGTAACCGTATTTAAATAAGGTTTTCTGCTTCTGCCTTTAAGCTAAAATTTCTGAGTAACTTTCAGGAAGCCTGCTAAGTTTTGCCTACAAGAAAAATGAAAATGAGGTTTAAACTTTTTTCCAATTTAAACACCACCCCCTGTTTTTTTAGTATTCAATGTTAATAAAACCATCAGCATAATTTAATAAATTAGGAAATTATAAACTGTTGAACAAGGTAATGGAATATCTCAGCAGGAGTCTTGTAGTTTTGAAAAATTTTATTAATGTAGACTCAGGACTTGGATAGAGTGGATTTTGGTTATGAGCAGTCTCTCAGTGTCAGATTACATGTTGTCAGCCATCTGTGCCAGGAGTAACTGAACTTATTGAGCTGCTGCTGGTACCTGTGGTGCAGCTCCCCATAACCTTTGCTAGAGCATGACTGGTGAGCATAACTGTATTTTGTGAGGCAATGGCTGTGGTTATTACCTTGGAGTAATAACCTCCAGTCTCTAAAGTTGACAGGTGGCAAACAGTAAGTGTATATTTAATGTCCATAGTTATAAAGCTTTATACTAGAAAGAGAAGGGTTTCTTTTAAGAGTTTGAGTCAAAAACCTGTTGTCCATTTTGTAACACCTGACACTTTCTTATCTGTAGATGTATTGAACAAAAGTTCAAGCGTTGCCCGCCGTTGCCAACCACGAGCATTGTAATAGTTTTTCATAATGAAGCGTGGTCTACTCTGCTCAGAACTGTCCACAGTGTCATGTACACATCTCCTGCCATTCTGCTAAAGGAGGTTATTTTGGTGGATGATGCCAGTGTAGATGGTAAGAAGTCTCTCTATTTTCACTTTTTTTTTTTTTTTTAATTGAAGACATGTTAGGGTAGTAGATAAATTGATTAAGAGGATATCTCTTTGCACCATTGATGTGTATAATGGTATTCTAAGTGGTTTTGCTCCTTTCTTTTTCTTTAAAATACGAAGTAGTCTTCCCTCCTCTTTTTTTCCCATAAGGTGGTCAGATATGAAATTCTTGTTCTCTAAAAGGTTTTTAAACCCTATTTCTAGTTTTTCCAATTCTAGTGCTGCTTTAACTGCATAACTGGTTGCATGACAAGTAGCTTTGTAATTTGTGCTTCAAAACAATTGCAATTTATAGAACAAAGTATCCAAGTACAAATTGGCTAATACTTGTGGCAATTTGCATTTTATCATAGGGATTGTCTTTATGCAAATGAATTTCATTAATACGAAGGGAAGTGTATTTACTGGAAAGTAAAATTATTTATTGGAAAAATAATCTTCAACACTCCAGCTGACTCTCAAAGATAATTAACTGTATACTGAGTGTGAACACAAATGCAAGTTCAAAAAACTTTATGTGCTTAACTTTATAGGAACATGTCTATACATATATGCTTCTATTAATGTATTTATGCTTTTTTGCAAGTCTGTATTTAGTATACTGCACACTTGGATGTGAAGGATGTTCAGTAGTACAGTTTAATGCTAAGGACGGGCAAAGTATGGTGTGGGATGTGTGGGGTTGTTTCTCAAACCTTGAACATTTAAATAGTTTTCTATATGGTTTCTGTTGCTGTTGTAAACAGAGCCTTTGAAAACTGTGTAAATGTGCCATCGTTAAGGAAAGAATTTGCATGTTCCACAGATAATCTAGGTGATCCATTTGCTCTGAAAATGGAGGTTGAATTGGTATTCAAACTGTTAATGCTGCAGCAGAGATGTACAAGCATGTCCTTTCTTGTTTAGAATATTTTTAGTATTTCATCTCCTGTTCTCTGCCAGTCACCTCTTACTATACCCTACCCCCAACAAGACTCAACCCCTAAAAATAACCTTCAGCACTTAGGAATTTTTACTTTTTTGATGTTGAGGTAGTTTCTGGGGTTAGTGAATTGTTTACCTTCTTAGTTTAATAATGTAAAATTTTGGGCATGTACATGTACTGAATATCCCAAAACTGATTCCTTGTTCTAGAATACCTGCACGATAAACTGGATGAGTATGTGAAACAGTTCCAAATAGTTAAAGTAGTCCGTCAGAAGGAAAGAAAAGGTCTGATCACGGCACGGTTGTTGGGAGCTTCCGTAGCAACAGGAGAGACCCTTACCTTTCTGGATGCTCATTGTAAGTGTAATCTGTAACTATGCCAGGTCTGCTTTATAATGCTGTTCTCTTTGATTTAATGTTGCAGATATTTTATGATTTATAAGCATTTGCAATATATCATCTTCCCTATTGCTGTTTCATATTATTTAAAAGTATAATTAGCAATGCTGTTTAAAAGCAGTCTATATTGGCTTGCTGGACATATTGAAAAATTCTCTGTGTACTACTTTATAGCCAAGTAAAGATTCAGTGTTTGCTCCCATTGTCTCCACAGGTGAATGCTTTTATGGCTGGTTGGAGCCATTATTGGCAAGAATAGCTGAGAACCCTGTCGCTGTTGTAAGCCCTGACATTGCTTCTATAGATCTCAATACTTTTGAATTCAGTAAACCATCTCCTTATGGGCATAGCCATAACAGAGGAAATTTTGATTGGAGTTTGTCATTTGGATGGGAGTCTCTTCCTAAACATGAAAACAAAAGAAGAAAAGATGAAACCTATCCCATTAGGTAAACATAATTTGAATACTATTTAAATCCTTCTGTTTTCATGGGGGTTTTGTTATGAACAGCAGTTTGTAAACAAACTTTCTTCACATGAATATAATCGGACATCTTAGTATCTTAGATGTTTTTTGTAGTATTTTCTTTAAGAACCACATTTTAAAGCTTTCATAAAAATATGGCCTCCTTAAGACAGTAATTGCTCTGCATTACTTTTTTTTCTATGTACACTAGGGATATAACAAGCAGTTTCTGTTGCTTATTATATTCCTAGCAGGAGGGGGCAGAGGAAGATTGTACACAGTTTTTTTTCAGAGACAGTACCACAGATTTAGTAGCTTCTCTTTCATCATGCTTGAAAGAATGACAAAATGGGTCAGAGCACCCAAATACTAGGCTGACACGGTTTGCTAGTAATTGTACCTGTTTGGCCACAGATTACTGGTTACTGGTCTGTATGAGTAATAATTTTACTTGATATCCTCCATACGGGGAAAATATGTTGGTTTTCCTGATGCTGTCTTTTATACCAGCAGTCATTAGTCTAAATGAGTTGTTAATAAATGACAATAAAACTGTCAAATGAGACTCCATGTGGGCAGATTTAATTGCTAGAAGTATTATCTATGCCAGGAAAATGCACCACTGCAATGAAACACTGACAAATGCATAGAAAATTCCTAGAACAGCTATACCATGATTTTACATCTATATTTAAAAAACCCTGTCTTCCTTCAATTTTGTTTTTGCAGAACACCTACTTTTGCTGGAGGTCTCTTTTCAATATCAAAAGACTACTTTGAACACATTGGAAGCTACGATGAAGAAATGGAAATATGGGGAGGTGAAAATATAGAAATGTCTTTCAGAGTAAGTTTAGCTCCCTAATTAGCAATTGTCTCTATGCTGACAGTGTACAGGGGTTTTGAGGACAAATTAGTACTAGATCTTGACTCCTCTGCTGAATCAACCAACTAGGAAAAGTGAATTACTAATTACCTTTGAACTAAAATACAAACATGCTCACTGAACTGATTTTAATTTTTGTTAACGTGTTTGGGGTTGATAACTGAAATGTATGTTTTCAAGGTTTACCTGATTAGGAAATTCACTTATGGAATGCTTGATACATGTACTCTTACTAGTGGTTTGATGTTTTCTGGTGAACAATAATATTGCTGAATTTTTTTCCACCCCCTTAATTCTAATTGCAGTGTACTTACACACTAAATGTTATTATTAGGTGTGGCAATGTGGTGGACAGTTGGAGATCATTCCTTGCTCTGTTGTTGGCCATGTCTTTCGCAGCAAGAGTCCCCACACTTTCCCAAAAGGTACTCAAGTGATCACACGTAATCAAGTTCGCCTTGCAGAAGTGTGGATGGATGAATATAAAGAAATATTTTACCGAAGAAACACAGAGGCAGCAAAAATTGTGAAACAAGTAGGTGGTGGTGGTGGTATTAGAAATCACACTTGCTGCGTTGAAAGTTTTGGTGAGCAAAAGTTATTTATTGACAAAGTATGTAAGGATCCTAGATATTTTAATGAAAAATCAGAGTTCAGTTTGCCTAATGCTGTAGCCCCAACAAACATGAAAAAACTTAAGTGTTTGGGAGGTGATAGTGTTGGTTTTTTATGGCGAGTTTTTTTTTATTGGTGGGTTGTTTTATATGTTCTCCAAAGTCCTGGGTTGTTTGCATTGAGCAGATATGGGAACTACCAGAAGAGCATGAGATAAACTACTGAGCATAGACAATGTAAACTAACTTATTTTTTGGAGTGATGAACATAATGTCTTATTAGTCTCAAGTTGCTTAGTATTTTTACTTAAAAAGCAGGTTTTGTTGCTCTTTAGCTGCAGAATAAAGCTTATTCGATGATGGATAACCATCCTATCTCTGTCTGCTTATAAACTTCAGCTAATTTGAAGGGAAGTTGAGTTTTGGCTTATTTACTTTGTAAGTTTTCTGTCCAGCGAGAATCTAAAGTTCTCTTCGAGAAGCTGTTTTTCTTCCTTCAGGTGATAGATTTTCATGACTATGTACAGCATTAACAAGAAAAAAATCAACAAATGAAACTTAAAACTTGCTTAATACTAGAACACAGAATATCATAACTTTACATGTAAAAAATTGATATTAGTAATTTTAATATATTTATCTTCCATCCTTCCTTACTTCCCCAACTCTAACAGAAAACATTTGGAGACATCTCAAAGAGACTTGATTTGAGGCACCGTCTGCAGTGTAAAAACTTTACCTGGTATCTCAGTAATGTTTATCCAGAAGCATATGTGCCAGACCTGAATCCCTTGTTTTCTGGATATGTAAGTTTAATTTTAATTATTTTCTATAGTCTTCATAGTCCAGGAAGTTTGCTAATCTTTTGTGCTATTTTAGCCATAGCTTTTAGACTTTAGCTATCATTAGCTTCTCTAGGGTTTTCTGTCACTACTCTGGATAAAGAATCTCTTCTGCATACCTTGCTATTTGAATATTTTATACTTTGTCAGTAGCTATGTAATTTTCATTTTTTATTCATGTCAAGTCATTTTCCCTGCTAAGTAACTTTAGACATTGCACTGCTGAAACTGAAAAGAAGTATTAAAGAAGTAATAATTCTTAGCTTGAACATGAATGTTTAGCATGTATTTACAAATAAAACTTCCCCTTCCTCCAGTTTTGAATATTTTATGTGTATCTGTTCAAAGTGTAATTCGAATAACAGTAACATTGTACACATTGTACACCAGTAGGCTAATAATTCCATATGTGACTAGGTAGTTGGTAGGCTTTTAGTTAGAAAACAGGATTTTAGTTTCAAGCATAGCAGAAAGTAAAAATGAACTAACAGCTGTAATTGTTGAACTAAAGATTAGCTTTGTATATGAGACAGTTTAATTTTTTATCATCCCCACTGAGCTTTTTTTATCCTGATAACACCCTTTCTTTAGTTAAAAAATATAGGTAACCGCATGTGTCTGGATGTTGGTGAAAATAACCATGGTGACAAACCACTGATTATGTATTCTTGTCATGGACTTGGAGGGAATCAGGTAAAATATTTGATACATAATTTTTATGATCTACTCTGTAGCTTTACCATATAAAAGCTTTTAATTTATTTTAATGAAATGGACTAATTTTTAATATTAAATATCTCTCCCCATCTCTCTTTTTTTCCTTTTTTTCTTTAATAGTTAATTCCTACATATATTGTTAAAGGAAAATTCCATACCACTCTTAATGTTGTGTCCTGCTTCTGATGTTTTAAGTTCAGCATACAAATCCAGATTTCAAACACAGTTGCCCTGCTTCACTTGACCTGTCTTTTCTGTGCAAAACGTTTTCATCCTACCCTTATTCCTGTCTTGTAAGTGTTGTCTTCTTAATTCTTCCTTTCCTTATGCTTCCTCCTATTGCTTCTTTCTCTGTCACCAGGACTCGCAGTGTCAAGGAAGATGTTGGTTGGAATCCAGCCAATGGGAGACCAAGTGTCCAGGCCTGAGCCACCTTCCCTATCATGCTTGCAGCCTCCTAGTGTGAGGTCACAGTGGCCTATCCTGTACTGGCTAATGCAAGTGAATAATATGATCCCATTTGTTCAAGAGGAGCTCTCTTTGGTGCGCAGCTCTTGGAGGCAGCAGTGGTTCTGTTCCTTCTACAATATAACTTGCAATAGATGTCAGATACTGAATCCTTCAGTCACTACTGCAATACCAATAAAAGGAACATCTTCCCTGCCCAGAATTGCACACTTCTCTGTTGCCTCTAAGAGTCAATAGAATTTAACAACTGTAGATCCTTAATAACTGAACATCAGCAAAGGTTTTAAAATTTTTGTTAGAATATAATTGTTATTTTGGGGGGGGGGTTAAGTTTTTTTCAACCTTAAAAGCCATCCATTGATGGCACTATGAAAATTCAGACAAATAATCCTAGTTAGTTGATACTTTCCTAATCCATTTTTGTGGGAGATGGAATGCTGTCTAGATTAAGAACTGCCCTGTTATGTTAGCTTCTTACAGTATTGAACTTGTTTTCTTATTCTGTTGTGGATTAATACTATAAGAGCCTTTTCACACTGTCACAGTTAGTAATTCAGGAACACTGTACCAAGACAGTGTATTAAAAGATCTGCTGTATGCTTCTATTGTTCTCTCTCTAAGTTATCTTGGACTGTACTTAAACTCTATACTTTCAAGTGTTATGTTTTTTGTTTTTCCTTCTGCCATAAAGTAACAGTCTGAAGCCCTTTAAATGTCAGCCTTCAGAGAACCTTAATATTGGTTTTGCTGGTAATGCTCAAGGGATGCATATTTGCTTACATAACCCCTCTCATTACAATGCTCTGTTTTCAGTTGTTTTCTGTCGTTTACCAGACTTTTATCAGTGTAGGCTGATATTTTCCATGCTACCTGTCATCTTTGTCCATATATCTGAGATGGCAGAAGGGAGTGGAAGAGAGAACCTAATTGTCAGAGTTGTACATTAGTTGTATATTATTCTTCCTTTTTAGAATATTCTGGGACTGGGAACATGCCCATCTCAATATCCAAAGTTAATGAAGTTTTAAACCTAGCTTTCAAGTAATATTTTCAGTGCGTGAAGAGCCTTTGAAGTTCAAAAGATAAATCAGGACAGATTAAGTCAGATTACCAGATTAAGAGTAAATTATTATGTCTGAGAGCTGAGTGACTAAGCAGGTCACTCCTATCAGCACCTATTTCAAGGATTAATGTTGGTCACAGAGTCTTAAGAGGGAGATGCCTGTTTGTTCCTCAGTGCTATTCCCATTGATTCCAGTGAGGAGGTGATTGCTGACCAATTGGACAGATGGTTGAAAGCCACAAGGGAGTAACTGAGCCTGGTCTTAATAGTCAAAGGAAAGATACAGTGAAGGCGGCTGACATATGGAGCCAAGAAACTGTGTGGTAGTGGGATGTAATGATAGGAACTCTGCTGTTTAATGAGGGAGAAAAGGAAGAGACCAGGATGTTAGGGTAGGGCTTTAGAGGGATAAAAGGAGAGCAGTGTCTCTTAACTGTTAGAAGTAAATCCCTGTTAAGACCAGAATTATAGCCTAGAATTCCTGAGCCTTAACAGTATTGTGCTGTCAGCGAATCATGGTAAAATTAACTCACAAAATACATGCTTATATTACTTTTCTAATGGCTAGCTCACAAGAGAACAGCATCCTATTGTTGACATTTATTGTTTGGATCAAGCAGAAAAAGTTGGCATACAGCAATAAGTATTGTTCCATGTGACTTTTTTTTTCTTTAAGAAAAAACAAAATCCAGCAACAGAATTGAATACAGATTTTTAAAGTTAAGAAATACCAAAATTTATCTGTGCAACTATCTCTAGTCTTTGGTTTGCCTCCTTGAATTATATATAATCTGTGTGGGAGCACACAGTGAGATATTGCATCATAATACATATGCAGATAGTGCCATTTGCAATTTATGCATGTAAATATAAATAAGCATTGCATTAGTATTAAAAAATGCTTTCAGTTTTGTAAATACTTTTAAAGTGTGTATGCTAAAAACCAGAAATTATTCTGTAGTCTCAAATTTTCGAATAAGAAAGGACATTTATTACTTTGTATATGGGAATTTCAAAGACTTTAATACTTTTGTTTGTTTTTATTTACTGAATTTTTTAAAAATTATTTAAATAGTACTTTGAATATTCTGCACACCATGAAATTCGACATAACATTCAGAAGGAGCTTTGTCTACGTGCTTCTAAGGGACCTGTGCAGCTTCGAGAGTGCAGCTACAAAGGCCAGAAAACCTTCGCTGTTGGAGAGGAGCAATGGCTGCACCAAAAGGTATGGGCTGTGAATTGGCATTTCTATCAGGGATCTTTTATATTACTTAATTTTAGATTTCCAGTAAAAGTGAAAATACCAACAAAACTAAACTCAGAAGCCAAAAAAGAGTAAGTTTAGTTTGGGCAGGAAAATTTAGGTAATTTCAACTTTTCAGTTACCAGATCAAAACTCGATTTCACTTGTAGGAGTGTCACTTAAAACCAGTTTATATCCTTTAGTGTGTATGTCTGGACATCCACCTGGAAGCCAATTCAGATGCTTTGTATCTTTTAAAATGTTTCTTAAAATTTTCCTAACAAAACAAGTTGGCACTTGTATACTACTTTTATTTATTTGCTAAATATCTGTATGCCCTTATCTGTATGACCTTTAGCAGTCAACCTGGGGGAAAAACAGTGGGGAAAATAGCATGTTCATTGTATGTTCACTTTTTTTCCCTCCTTTTTTCCTCACTTTAGGATCAAACTCTGTACAATGCAGCACTACATATGTGCCTTACAGGAAACGGAGAGCATCCAAGTTTGGCATCCTGTAATCCATCAGACCCCTTCCAGAAGTGGATCTTTGGCCAGAACAATTAAGATTTCATATTTATAGGCCAGAAGCATTTTATTACAAGAGAAGATCCATCCTGAACTGCGATTATTATATACTCATACTGCATTTTAAGTGATACTTTGAATGCAAAATGTTTCTTTTCCCTCCTAAGTTGGATATAAAATGTGTCATCGGAGATTCCCTAGGACTCCGCTATACCAAAGATAATTGAGATCCTGATTATATTTTGTTTACAATATTTCTGTGATGAGACTTTATATGTTGACCACTGATTTATGGATCCTATTAGTCCTCTTTCACCTCGGGGGCCATATGTGTATTGTTTTTTCACATATTGTAAGTACTTCTGAAGAAGACTAATTTTCTTTGTAGGGTTGTGAGAAATTATTGTCTACTGTCTAAAACCCAATACACTATATTTTTATGCTCAATTGGTGGACATTTTTTTTTAATAATTTACTTTATTCAGTGACACTTTCTCAATATTTTTTAAGTTTCTTCACTTGAAAAATTAAATATTTGACTGTCAGGTAAAAGCTAAATAGGCTACCATACTATGCTCAGCTTCTAGCAAGTCAGTCCTTTTGTAGAAGAAAAAGGTAATTCTCACTGAAATATGTATTTATGATTATTCTAATAGAAAAATCTGCTTATCCCAATACTAATCTTTTGTTTAGCTAAAACTTCTTTTATATAGGTTTTTTTATATTTCATGAACTTTAAAATTTATGACAGTTATACTGTAATAGATTCCCAGCCTCTTAACATTTACACATTTTTTCAGCATTTTTCTCATTATTACTTTTAAATTACTTGTTATCTACTAAACTCATTTTTCTCCTCTACCTTTTAGTGATTTATGCCATGTTTACTTCACATGGAACCTCTAATGTGATCTGTATGTGATCTCTTGTGTGAACACTTGCATGGGGTTTTTTTCTTGTTTCTGTTTCCCCTTTTACAAATGACTGACCTCAGTTTTATCAGTCCAAGTGAGACCTTGGCCTTTCTAAATATTCTGCTAACTATAGAAAAGATACAGCATACTCAAATATGTAATCTATTTTTAAAGAAATTTAAAGGGAGGATAAAAATATTTAGCTGCATGATCAAATATAAAGCTGAGAATAAATTTGAAGGGGTGGGTATTAAAGATTGAACAGAACAAAATACATTAATAATAACTTTGTTCTTTTTTCCGAAATAATGTCATTACAAATAAATGCTGTTTTAGGTATTGGGTCTGGTGGGTGGATGAATGATGGTATGTAGGGTTTTTTACTTCTAATGGGGGGAGGGAGTCTGTGGATAATTTAATGGTATCTGCAGAATGAGTTCAGTTTCTGAATAAAAGCAAGAAGAAATCCTTTCAGTCATTCTAAGTCATCTAAAAGGACAAAAAAGTGAATAAGCAAGAACCAGTGATAATTTGTTGGAAGCATTATCTTAAACTAATTTATTTTTCTGGCTTGATAATGCCTTTACGTTGTGTCTTGGCTTCTGTAGGGCTTTTGGTGACACTTGTGAGAACATCCTGTGAAGTTAAAGCTGTACAACTTAATAACTGTGAACAGATATTGATAAAAAGCCTGTACTGGGAAGGGTTATTAATACCACTGTGAAACTGGAAGGTTGTGTAGAACAGCACTGCCTGTGTCCTCTGATAAATGTTTTAATTTGGTAATGGAATACAAAGTATTACTTTTGCAGATCAAACCAATATTGGAAGGGCAACAAATGCTCTTGACAAACTGGAGGAGCTGAGGAAAAATAGAATGCAGGTCAATAAGAAAATTGTTGAACAATATGAATAGAGGATGGGAGATTACACAGAGAGCAGCTGTGTTGTGTTGAACACCAGTTATGAAATGGGAACTCAGTGTTCAAGGAACATGTTCTAGAAGACAAGGTATTTAGCACAGTGGTTTAAAAGGACTTGTTCTTTTAGTTCTTAGTTCTCATGTTATACAAAAAAATGCATATTATTTTTAATATCACCAAAGGATAATTTTTTCATGCAATCTGTATCTCTTAGAAACTTGTCAGACTGGAATATGCATATGTTAATATCATTTATCCACTCACTACCAGTTGGGTTTTTGTGGTTTTAAGAGGTAATGTTCCAAATGAGGGTAGAATTTGAATTTTAAGGAGACAAGTGTTCTCTTGCACTCGGAGGGAAGAACTTCTTCATGAGCAATGCTAGAGAAGCTCCACTTTGTATTTTTTGTTTTTCTAACTGGTAATTTAAGCTCATATCATAGCAGATAGAGCAATATATGCAGTTGTTACTCTGTTTTCTGGAAAGATTAGGTATAGCATTTCACCTAGTTATTATATTTTGTCTTTAGTTCTAAGTGTGAAAGGGGAAAATTAATTCTGTGATTTAAAAATTATCTTTTAAGATTTTCTTTTCATTTTTTGAGATTTCTGGTATCCTTTAAACTATGAGTGACATTTTAGTCTGTATTTTTGCAGTACTTAGTACAGCAGCAGTTCAGCCTTACTTGGATTCCCTACTACCTGCCAGAAAAGAGGGAAGCAGATCTAAAACTTTAAATGAGGTTTTTGTTCTATTCTGTTTGAAGATCTGAAATTAACTTCTGTGTCTACACTGAATATTGCACTTCCAAATATTCACACATACATGAGAGAGAGAGAGTGTGTGTATATATATGTAGACATCATAGTAGAAGAGCAATAGGACATCTGTAAATACGACTGGAGATTTAAAAAGTTGGATTCTGATTATTTTTTTGTAATTTAATAAAAAAGCAGCAGCATCTTCTGGATGTTGTTAATGTTCTCCTGAAAGTGGCATTCAGAAAATCAGTTTATTGCAGGGAGGTTCTCTGGCTCTTCTTTTTTTTTTCCTAATTTAAAGCACTTTCAGTAATGGTATTATGCTCTTCTTGGCCCCCATGAAGGGGAAAAAGACAAATACTATTACATATACAGCATGTAAAAATTCATACATCAATCAAATAGCTGTATAAACTGTTGAAGGTCGCTACAACAGCAGGCATCAGTGTTAACCTGCATCTCACCAATGCTCTCTTACACATCCAGGGAGGTAATCACAAGTGCTGAAGGCTTGATTTCAGGCAAGGACACCTCAGCTCCACTTGCAGCAGGACAAAGTGGGTCCTAAACATTTTGGGACTTCAGGGCCTGTGGCTCTGGGCAGCTCCTGCCTGCGAACAAGAGGTCTGCCCTTGGTTGTGGCTCTGCCTGGTTACGACACCGTTCACTGCAGTGTGAATTCGCCACACCGGAGGACTTTGTTTTATCACCCTTGACAATAACTGCTGGTTTTCTCTAGGGTGAGTATAGAATAATGTGAGTACTATTAATAGATAACTTACAAGTGAACCTTAGTGTTAAATCTTCTTACTTCTGAACTGGCATCCTAGTATCTTGAATTAGAACACCAGTGTTGAAAGTTGTTTTACAACGTTTTTTATGTCAATGTGGCTTAGCAAGCCCTGGAGCAGCCCTGCTAACCATAGTTCAATGCAATGCCAAAGGCAGTGTGATTAGCAGACATTAATCTATTTCATTTTGTGTAACTCCTAACTAAAAACAAATAATACCCTAAATCCTGTGAGAACTTTTTTTATCATCTAGAGAACACCTGATCTTTATCAGTTTTTGTAAATTCAAATAATTTAGGTATATGCAATTTATTATTAAAGCACACTTAGGGACAACTTTTAGAAATGTACAGCTCAATTTTAATAAATATCAGAATGAAAATATGGCAGATACTGTGATTCTTAATTATTTTCTTAATGAAGCAGTGTTGATTGGCAGTTTTCAAAATAAGCAGTTGTCCTGAAATGTAGCAGTTTGATTTATAGCCATTGAAATTATTTGCTGTATAACGTTACTGCAAATTGTCCACCAGGGAGAGCTGGTGCAAAATTTTATTCCAACAATTGCTTCATTACCTTATAATAAAAAATATTAAATTCACCATGATAGGCACAGGTGAATCAGGTACTTTATTTCACTGGCCAAAGAAAAGTGTAGGCAGTAGTATCATGAAAGGGCAGATGGATATACCTAACAAGGCATTTCTGTTTATTTCTTTAATTGGCATACAAATATTTGAAAATAAAAACAGACACCAGAAAAACCCCTCCACACAAACTGTTTATGTTGTCAGACTATGAGGAATGGGAGAAATGCCTGAAATTTCAGAGTGTCTTTGGAGGTTCTAGAGGTCTTGGGTAGGAGCTGCAGAATTAATTCTGGTTCTCTTAGTTGAGAGAGGAATCTCTTATGAGTGCACAGCAGAAATAAGAAGCACATTCACTGGCAGCCATGATGTAACGTAGAAACCTGTTTTACTTCATTGCAAACAAATGGACAATATATATTGTACAATATATAATAAAAATACAGCTGATACAAGTGCCACTAATTAACAAAAAAAACTAATGTTAAGACTTAAAAATGCTCATTTTTGTAATATATACACTGCAGTAATAAGCCACAATAAATACATCAAATTCCATATCATTCATAATAAATACTGAAAATATAAATACAGAAGAATACAGTTAATTTGAATAAATTATTACAGCGTAAGGTCTAGGTTAAGTTCTGTTGAATATTATTGTAGCTTATATTACCCTTTGGCATCTTTGATGTTACAACTTGTTTAAAAAAAGGAAATTAAGGAAATGTGTAGTTCATGAAGCTTAAAATTATTTCCATGTACAGATTTTAAGATGAACTTTCTTTCCCTTCGCTTCTTCAAACAGTTTAAAAGCAGCAGTCCAATTAAATATTTTGCTTTACTGTTGAGATCTCCATTATTTTAGTATACAAGATAATCTGTAATGGAAAATGTTAAGTACTTAACATAATTATTTTTCTCAGAAATTAGTAAAGTTAGAAGTAATGTACAAAGTTTAAAGAAATGGCTGCAATTACACCACAGTTTTACTAGTCCCATTTGAGTGGATTACCTGTCTGAAAGACCATCAGCTTAAGTGCTTTTGAATCTATGCTGTGGTGTATTATTTAGCACTTGCCAACAAAAATTTCAAAAGCAATTTTATATTCTTATGGGGAAATATATATATATATATATATACACAGAGAGAGATGAACCTCCTGAAAGACAGGGTTGGACTAGACAGTGTAAATGTTACAGTCTGTATTTGTTAAAACAATGAAAATACTTTAAACATATAAAAGGTAATAAGTGTTGGGTTTTGTTTGTTTGTTTTTTTACAAATTTTCTATCTATTTGCTATAGATGGAAACAAATCAAAATAACCAATTAGCCATGTTTTATGTTAACAGGTATTAACCAGTACATTTGTATTAATAATTTTATTTTTAAAGGTAATTACATCAGAATGCAATTTAACTTAAAAGATCAACTTTACTAAGACAATATTACAGGCTGAGGCTCTTA